AGGAGAGGAGAGAACAGCCGTTAGCCGATGTTTAAAGGGGTTCTTACGCACCTACTCGAGACGCAGGAGCAGAGCTGGATCCTTCCGACGGACAGCATCTGTGCTCTACGGCTCTCGATATCCATACAAAGCCGTCTGTTGAATAACATTACGCTCGACCCGCGCGCACGCTCGCAACGGACGATTATGGTCGGTTACGAACGTCGATAGTAGTTAGACCGTGCATCCTGTGCGAATGCTAATTTCGGACGGGCTCAAGCACGTCTGTCCTTGGTGGTAATCGGTGAAACCGCGAACCGATGTATTTCTGTTGCGTGGCCCCCCTCTTTTTTCGCGACGAACTCCTCCAAGTCTCTTTTATCGATTTTATCGATCAGCAATGCCACCTTACAATTATTTCTGCGACTACTTCTTTCTGGTCGCCATTCGTTGGTAGACTCTCTAAAGTAGTAGACGTGGGATGAAACTTGTCGAATTATGAGAAATAGATTGAATAATTGCAAGGCTTGCTTGGCTCGGAATAATAACTCGTTCATGGTCCCCCAAGCATAAAGTAAATATATTGGTACGTTTTCAACCTGTTTCTTTCGTTGACTTTGTACATGATTCTTCGGAAATAATTGTCTTATCTCTGGAACTTATAAACCTCACGCTTGATGGACCATAAACGATCGCATTCGTTAATTCCTCATGAACTTATATTCTCAGAGTAAACACTCCAGTTTCTCTCATCTACAAATAATGTTTTTCTAAACCGTTTCCTTTTCTTTTTCAATTTACTCGACAAAGAAACAATGAATCATTGAGTTTGCCTAATTTTTGATTACACTACGATGACATTCCGGCACAGGAATATGGAGGTCGTTGTGGGTCGAAGGTATTATTAATTTTTCCTAAGCAGATCCCGGTCATCTATGGTATCGGCCGCGGGCTAGGAACGAGCGAGTGCTGCAGGTGCCGGGAATGGTCAATATAACCTCAAAATGTAAATCATATTGGTATTCCCGGAGGGTCTGTTCTCTCTCTCTCTCTATCTCTCTGCCATGAGCGTGTATTAAACACGGGCCCGGGTAAGACGACCTGCCCGTATATTAGTTTCTGCGGGTTTCCCTATTGGATTTGGCCGTCGCGTTTCCCCTGATTGTTTACGCGGCTGCCCGCTAATTCTCCGATACAGACGACTTCCAAACCATCTAGACTGGGACCAGAAATAGCCACGACTCTCATCCGAATACTACTTTCCCGCAAAAGATAGAAGATAAGAATAAACATTTGAGTAGCCACGGAAAACTCTTTGCAGATTGTTAAATTACACGATTTTTTTTTAAATTTGACATTTTTAGTAACCAAACAAAATTGTAGGCAATTACACTGGCCGCAAGAATAGAACGTCTTCAAGTGCCTGGGCAGTACAGGTGGCCTTAGGAGTACAAAGGATTAATTGATGAATCGACAAAAAAGGGAGTCTACTTGGAACTTGTAAGAGTTTGCTACTTTAGAGCACCTGGAAGAAGACTTTTTACTCGCAAGTCATATCTACGCCATCCAGTAAAATTCTCGCAGACTCCTTTCAAGCGGAATTTCGCCAATCTTCGACTGCTGGAAGGAAATCTTCGCATCCGTTCCGTTCGAGCGAGATCTCGTCGATTTCGACCGCGACATCGCCGAGATCGATATCGCGTCACGGGATCGAAGCGTATCGCATCCCCTCTCGTCCTCGACCCTCCTCTCCCGAGCGTTAAACGTAGGCGGACGGCGCGGCGCGGCGCGGCGCGGCGTCGAGAGTCCGCGGAACCTTCGACGTGGGGAGTCCCCGCGGACAGCGGCCACAGGAGGATTTCTGAGCGAACGCACAGCGGTAGCTGATGTATTTTGACGTGTCGGACGAGAGAGACCGTCTCTCCTCCTCCTTATCGCTCTCTTTTTCTCCTTCGAGTGCATTATCTAATGGGGCATTCTCTCCCCTCCAGTTAGGTGCCCTCCTTAGCCACCTCCACTTCTTTTCTCGCCATTTCTCGCATCTCCCTTGCATTCGCCGCTTATTTGTGCACTTTCCTTTTTCGTGGGCGTCATCTTCGTCAATTCGAATACTACATGTAGAACCTGAGGAATGTTTAGCTCACCATCTCGCAGCTCCTTACACTGTGCTTTAGTGTTTCTACGGGATTTTTGTCTTCCCAAGTACCCAATAGATGACTTAACCATCCATCTATCTATTTATTTATCTCCCGTTTCACCCGTGGAAGACTCACCAATTCAACTCCGTCCGCAAAGTCCGCCCATTCGGAACGCCGACTAAGGGTATCGGTGTTCCACTCTCGGTTCTAATTTCGCAACCACGACCGCGGATTTCTTTTCCCTGGATCGACTACGTCGTCGATCTAATAGGCTGCAGTAGTGTTTCTCAGGCTTTCCCGATCGCCACTACCTTGGACAATGCTCTATAATTCTGTGGGCTTCTCCCGCAACATCCCCCTCTGGTTCTAGATCTTATTTTACACTATCAGAGTGGTGTCCCAAGGCGTTAAATTAACGAGTATTCTCTCAAATTTCTCTTCAATTCAGATTTGAAATTCACCTCCATCGTGAGGTGAATTCAAATGCGCCTTTGAATTCTAGACAACCGAATATTTGACTATCAGGATTCTTCTAGATGGTGTCAACTTCCAGATGACGATTCACCAAGAAGTCCTCGCGAGCATCGCTTTGAACGACGCTGAGTTAAAGCGAGCGTCGTTCGCGCGCATTGCGGTTCCATTGTCTCTACTCGCCATACCCGAGGCTTATCGATCTGGCGTCCGATCGGAGGTGTCCTTCCTTTCCAAGATTGTCGTCTCCCTGCCCCGTGGAACGGAAATGCCCGCAGGAAGACTGGAAAGAGCGAATGGTTGCGGTACGGATCGCTGACTGGACTCTGTCCCGAGCAGTTACACGGCTGTTACGTTCGAGGCGAGGCGGAACAAACTCGCGACGAGCATCGGGAAGGAGACAGTTCGGCTTCGCGACCGAAGAACAATTGTCCAGGTGGTTCGGGTGTCGGTCGAGCGTCGAGAGCGTCTTCCACGATCGAGACGAGTGTTTCTTCGTGGACGACGAAGGAAGGAAAGGTCGTTGTGTGTTATAGTCGAGGGTAGACCATCAGGAAAGTTGGGAAGGAAGGTTCGGAATCGTAGGTGGAAATCGGGGTCTCGGGAGGCCCTGGTTCTCGGGGCAATTCTTTGCCTGCTCGCGTGTATCCTTAGTATGCAACGTATGCAGTCGGTTGTTACCGAAGGAGTGGTTTGCCGAGCGGCCAATGGCGAGTGCTCGAGCTAATTCTAGGGTGCCGCAGCCGCGCCATCTTTGCATCATAATGCTGCGTCCCCCTTCTCCCTCGTACCCCACCGCCCGCTCCTACCAACGGAGAGAACTCTGTCGTCCCCCTTCCTACCTTGTCCCACCCCACCTCGCGTTGCATCGCGTTCCTCCTCGCCCTCTCCTCTTTTCCCTGACTCTCCCCTCCCCCACCACCACCACCTACCTCCGCACCCTCTCGCACCTTCTCCTCACCCTCCCTGCGCTGCACACCTATTCGGCTAAGAGACTGCACCTGGACGACGACTGGAAGGTCGGAGAACGTCTTCAAACCGCGGTTCTCCAAACTCGACGCGACCAAGTTGTGCAATCGCAGGGGAGGAGGGGTACCGCTGTCCCAGAAAGGGAAAGGGGGTTGTCTGCGACTAGTCTGGCCGCGAATCGATCGATTCTGACGTTGATCGACGAAGGAAAGCCCTCGAGAATCGCGATGAGACGACTCGTGACCTCTTGACGTTCTCCAAACGTTCTAGAAGATCGATCCTATCGAAGAACGCTGTTGATCTCGATTCAACGAGGATCCTGTCGGCGAACGCGTCGACAACAAAGCCCGTGTTTCGCGCGAGATCCAGTCAAAAGGGAGCCGAGACACAATGGCCGGACGCGCCGATTCACAATGATGGAAAATAATTAATCCGAACCGAGGTGGGAGGGGGGAGGGGGGGGGGGGCTTAAACGCGCCGACCCGAGGTCCGAACGGATTCAGACTTGGGCGCCTAGACGCGTCTGACCATGGCGAACACCTTCCTGCGCGAGGACTCGCGCGTGAGATCGGCAAGGCTTCTTTGTAAGGAAGGAAACTGTAATCGGAGGTACGACGCGGGTGGTCCACTGGCTTGCTTTTATTGCAAACGAGTCTATTGTATGTCAATTTCTCAAAAAACAAGATCTCGAAACGAAACACATTAACTCTACCGTTCGACCGACCTCTTGGAATCTTCAAACCTAGTGACGACGTCTGAACACTCGTACGACCTCCCCAGTAGGAAATGAAGCAATCAACTCGCAACTATCCTCACAGCTCATCGAAAAATTCCCCTTGTTTGCAAATTGTGACCAGCCAGTGTAAGAGGAACCGGTTTATCCGAGCGATTCGTAGATCGATCGATAACTATGACCAAGCGATTGATCGACGTCGATCCTCGGTAAGCGCCGTCGACAGGCGCGCACGGTAGCCGTCGAGACGATCAGACCCCCGCCTGGACGCGTGCACGTGGTCCGAGGCCCCCTGCGCTGGCCGTGAAACCCCCCGCGGTAGAATGATACGCCAAGATAATTTCGTTGGACTTTGACCGCGCAGGGGTTCCGCCACCTGCGGGGGAACGCGAACAGCCGTCCCGCTAAGTCGTTTTGACAGGTGTCCGTCGGGGCGCTCTCGGAAGGAACGCCGCGACACCCCATACGATCATCGGCCAATGCCGACTGAGACTCTGGGTTCTAAGTCAAAGTCGTCGTTCCTGAAGGGGGCCAACCAACTAATTAATATAAAGCACGTTAATGTAATGCTATCACTTTCATTGTGATTGAGTTCACTAGAGTTTTATAGAATTATTGACAAGGCGATAAGAGGGACGATAGAAGAGTCCGAAAATAACTCTAAAACAATATCCTTAGACTAATCGTTCCCCTGATGTTTGTGTTTGCAGTGATATACCAGAAGCGATTGAAGAAGGAGCGGAGAGCAAGGAAGCGTCTGCAGGAGCAGCTGGATCTGGAGATCAAGAGGCGCGCGCAGCTGGAGGAGGCGTTGAAGGCGACGGGGGCTTCCTCGGAGCAAGTCAGAGCGATCACCGGTAAGACACGAGCGCGTGCTCGCTGGAAGGATTATCGGTGGGAAACGGATCCGCGTTTCGGTGTTACGCTCGCCGTTTACCAGCCAGATCTTTGCACCGAGAGCCTCCGGGCTAGCGGTGATCTCCGAATAAATTAATTAATTCGCCGAGGCAGAGCAAACAGCCTGACACCCGCCGGAATACGATTCCTTACTTATCCCCCGCCGCCGGGGGAGATCCTTCCAGCCGCCCCCTCCCCCCTCGCTCTCGTGAAATCATCGTCTCGACCCCCTCCGTTCTTGCGTAAAGGTCCATTTTCACATTACAGGAAGATGAGTGATTAATAACGAAACGAATTGAAAGTTTCATCATTTTTTAGAAATATTTCCCTAGTTTGTACAAATGTCCAGTCATAATAATACTAGCCACTCTAGTCACTCGAGATAATACTAGCAAACGAATTCTATAAGGCCCATCGCTCCTTCGATATTAACGTACATTCATTTGTTTCTACATAATAAGCTTTCAACAAAAATACATGCTAGTCGATGTGAGTCTTGGCGTTTAATTTTCTCACAGCGAAAGTGAAGCTCTCTCTATCCATGTATATGGAAAGAATGCGATATCAGAAAATTGTATGTTTATCGATCGTGTCGCGATTTCGGGGCAACTCGCGAGATTAAAGATCGCGACCCCGTGTTACGTGAAAACGGACCTTAACGTCTAAACGCCGCGATCTTCAGCCGAAGAGAGGCACCACCCCTCTTCCTGTCACTAGCAAAACTCGAGCGGCAGCTTGAAACCCTTTAAGTGAAATCTCTTATTCCGATATACAGAGCACCGGGACCGTGGTTCCCAGCGCTCGAGTCGTTCCCGTTGATTAACCCTGTCAGAAGCAGGGAATGTAGCGATACTAATTTCAAATGAAACGGAGCACGCGAATCCGCTCTCCTCGGAGGGGTTCGTTACCTGACGCTGGGAACCGCGAGCGTTGGCTGGAAGCGATCGAGAAATCCTTGATTAACGTTTGCCTCGTCGATCAATAATATCTTTGCATGCGGAAATTCTATACAAGGTGGATAAATAACCTCGATTTCTTGATTTGGCGTAGAAAACGTAACGGTGGAGGCGCGCACGAGTTCAGAACCACCGGAGTCTAGTCCGGTGCACTCGCAGTCGCAGCAGCAACCCTCGCAGCAGCAGTCGTCCCAGCAACCCCTTCAGCAACAGCAGCAGGCACAACAGTACAGAGAGGCACAGGTGCCGCGCCCTTCCCAGCAACCCTCCACGCCCGAAAAGCCCGCATGGGGATACGGCCTGGACCTGATTGGCAGCCAAGCCTCCGCCTTCTGGCAGAACTACCAAGGTCAGAGCTCAACTTTCTCTAAAATATTAGGTTGGTCAAAAAGTTCCTTCGGATTTTAATGCACAAATAAAAGAAATATATCTGCTCTATAATATATTGTCTATTTTGTCACAACTGTGACCATACATCGAACGAATTGTTTGACCAACCTAATGCTTAAGGGGGGTCGTAAGGTCTACCTGAGTGGTATCACTGGGAAAAAGGGTTACTGGAAAGGATTGAATCGAAGGATGGAATCATGGCTCGGAACGAATGCTCATTGTTTAGAAGCTTGTACACTCAGTTTTTTAGAACTGTGAAGTTCGTTGTTAGTTCGTTAGAACTAACGAAAATTCATAGAAATAATCCAAATACCAGTATTTTCAATAACATTTTCACTTAAGTCGATACCGTCTTCCTAGCGCGACCAGTACAAAGGGCAGCGAGTATACGTCGCGTTAAGACACAGGGTGAGACAAAGGTGAACAACCGTGATGACGGGGGTGGAAAGTTTCCTTTCCTCGAGGAGAGCGAAGCGGGAAATAAGCCGCGAGGGTAACAATGGGTACGTATCGGGCGAAATTTAAGAAAACCGTACAGGCCCGCGGGCACCCTTCTTCCAGGGTTCGTTGGCGGGGATGGGGGTAGTCAGGGCCGCGGTGAAAAGGAGGGCGAGGACCCGTGGCAAGCCGCTAATTCGGATAATCGCGTTCCCGTATTAGGATCCACTCAATTTTTCTGATCTTCCGGCCGAGTGGCTTCGATCCTCGATTACCCAAACAAAAAAGAGGCAGAGCACGGGGGTGGGTGGCGAGGGCGTAGAGAAAGAAGAGAGGAGGGCAAAGAGGTGAGCGTCGCGTCGGTATCACGCAAAGTAAATTATTCGAAAGATCTCGGGAGGGAAAGAGAGAGAGAGAGAGAGAGAGAGCAATCACGCCAGGGGCAATAACAACCCCGTGTACCAGGAGGGAGGGAGGGCAGTCGGTTCTGACGAGGAAACACGAGGTATTTGAATAGGGTCCCGCAGCCACCCGGGCATCATGATGCGGAATCCATTTGCAATAAACAACGGAGATTTAGATGGGGGCGGCGGGGGCATCGGGGGTGGCGCTGCAGGAGCGAGCGAGACGGAGGGGCGTAGGTCGACGGAACGTCGTCGTCTGAGGTGGGTACTTACGCCACCAAGGGGACTTCGGGGCCGTCGTGTCTTCGAGTCATGCATTCTATACGAACAGCGCTTCTCATTCTCCTTGGATGGCGACCAACTCGCAGCAAATTCTCGAGAATCAACATCACTTGGGCTATCGCACTTGAAAAAATGATTATTTTTATGCATTCGTGTCTTTTTATTCGCGATTCGTTACTCGAACGACATTTTGCCCATCTCCGATATCACCTCGATTCGAGAAACGCGCGCCTCGATTGTCGTGCGTAAGCGTCGGTTGCTTGGATATCGTAATTAAAGGAAGGGAACCCGAATTTGACTCGAGCCGTTAAATTGCTTAAAATGATCCTCTGGAAAACGGAAGATTGCTGGTTCGAGTAGTAGTGCTCTGCGGTGTCACGTGCGTTCCAGGACGCCGGCGTCGCCTCGTTTTCACCCTGTTTTCCAACGAGGAGGAAAAGGAGGTCTCGTTGACATTTGAGGAAAAGCTTTAGTCTCAAAAAGGTCGTACACACGCAGGTATCTAACTATAGGTAGAATTTCGACTCCATTTCTGCAATTACAAACCCATCCACTAATTATCTTTTCCTTCGCAATGTTCTTTCAATCCATCCCCACGATGCTCGTCAAAAACAACATCCCTGTCTAACGCGCTACCTTAACCTGGATCGCCTTTATCGAAATCTTGAAAATGAGTTCTAAATGACTCCAAGGTGGATCGAGCATGAGCGTCACTGTGCGTAATGCAGAGTTTATGCACATCTCTGGCAAGTAAGGAAGGAGCCGTAATTTCCCCGGCGGCCACCGTGGCTCTCGGTGGCGTTACCTGTCCTCCTCCCCTCCGTTTCCCTTAAACCTTCTCTCACCCCCATCCGTCGCGAACAGTTCTCTTGCTCTCACTTTGTCTCCGTCCTCGCGCTTTCTCCCTGCCCCCCCCCCCTGCCGCAGCCCGTTTTCTCTGGTATATACGCGCTCGTACCTACGCGGTCGCGCACACAACGATTCCTCCGCGTCCATCATACGGCATCCACCGACGAGTACGACGGAGCACTCCGTCACGCTTTAATATTCAGACTATATGCAATAATTTCGCAGCAACCATAACGCCCCCTTGGCCCTCCCCCGGCTGCTTTCTCGCGACAGAGCGGTACGAGCGGCCTCCGTCTTCTCGTTCCTTTCCGTTTTACTCTGTCTCCCCGCTGCCCCCAGTATCTTTAAGCAGGGATCTTGTGGCTATAATAGGGGCTGTTTGTACTTTTAATATTTTTTTTTTAAATTTTAGATTCGAGATTGAATTTATCGATAGTCAAGTTTATCGATACTTTGTATGAATTCAAATTTCTGGAGGAATGTCAGGTCTGTATTTTTACGGTGCTTCGTTATGCAGAGAATCTATTTGAAAGATACATGGTGCAATCAGAATGTCGGCTAAACGCTCCGATTAGAACAGACCCGTCCTCTCCCCCCTCTACCTACGGTTAGTCCCGGAATGTGCGTCCGCGAGTTTGCACGGCGAATCTATTATACTCGAGAAACTCCCAACCATAAAACCGGAACGAACCATCGGGGAGCAGTAGGTACAATGTATGGGCGACCGGTTGTGCGTTGCAAATTCGTCGACGTATCGCAGCGAGATATCTCGGCGCCAGCCGAGCGGAGGGAAAACTATTCCGCGGGGGGAGAAAAAAAGCAGAGCACGAGATACACGGCCTGGTTCGCAGAGAAACCGTCGCGGTTAAATGGAAACGGTTACGAAACGGTTCATACGTGGAAATTCTTGTTGCGAACGGTAGTGGATACAAGGGCAGCAATTTAGCACCAAAATCTTGAAGTACATACACCTAACAATTTCGGTATATGTACTCATCGAGAGCCATAAGACGACTTTAAATAAGTCGAATGCATGGTGCAATTAATTGAATCCTACTGGAACGTTTTCGAGACCAGCGACTCCTTCGACCTTTCTTTCCGCGATTCCGTTTGCCGGTGAAAATGCCAGGCGGAATTATCTCCGTCGTTCCTGGAGCGTGTAATACGTAAAAGGCGGCTGGTGCGCGGTGCTTTGTCGCGATACAACGACCGACGCTCGACTTGCGATTTCTATATCGCCCGAAGCGTCGTCGAGTGGAGGGAGTCGAATCGGGGGATGAATCGCGAGCAGATTAAATTCGTTTCTGGCGCGTCGTCGCGTGTTTCTCGATTTGGAAGTGGAGCAGAAGGAGGTTGCGCACGCATTCCTCTTCGTCCTCGCGTCTCCGGTTTTTGTTCCGCTCGTATCGCGCCGGTTTTTGTGTCTCCGCGCTCTCCTCCGTGCACCTCCTTGATTCATACAATTTCACGGTCGGCTTGGCGCTCGAGCGCCTACGTCCCCTGGTTCCCCTGCCCCGCCCCCCCCCCTCCCCTCCCCCGACTCTTCAACGCCCTCGCTCACTCGCCGTCGCCGTGTTCTGTTTTACATAAAGATCAGAGCATTAAAAACGCGGCGCTACACGAAATCAACCCCCTGGCCGCCAGGCCTCGTTCTCCTTCTTTCCAAGACCCTTCGAGACACCTCCAAGCCCCCCAGACGCTCTCTTTTTCTCCTCGCCATCGCTAACTCTCCGCTCAAGAGAGCGAGAGCGTTGGAGCAATTACCGCCGCTCGGGATACGATGCCCGGAATCGGTTTCTTCGATGCCCGCGCGAGAAGATTCTCCGACCTGGACGTTTGTTTTTCACCGCAGCCCGGGGTCAAGGAGGCCTTCCTCGGAAATTGATCGTTGCGGCGTGTTTCGCGACTAAAGCGTTACTTTGAACGCTACAACCACGTATTTCAGGCGAAACAGAATATTTACATTTGAAAAGATTTGGAAATTGGAAGCTGAAGGAATTTATTGAATTGTACTCCTTTAGAAGAGGGCCCCGGAGTTATTGTTAGCCTCGAACAACTACATAGATAAGGAAAGTATTTACTCCTTCATCGTCTACACTCATTCTACCCAATCCTACACGAGTGGTTACTTGCAACGAGTTGATTAGAAACGGGGAATCGTGTCGGAGGAATTTCGTGTCGTCCATCTTGCAAGAAATGGGCCCGATCGACGCGCAGGAATGACGTTGGGAACGTCCAGGGCACAATGCGATGATTTTTCGAGAAGTAGCGCGTTTCGTTTTATTTTCGCCGTTTCTTTTCTTCGTCTCCTCTCGGGAGGCGAGTTGGCCTTCTCGCGACGCATTGTGCGCCAGTTAATTACGTGCGGATAAACGCAGAGTCATACCGGATACAGTTCGAGGCCCTTCTTTTCAGAGGGCTGTCGGGGCCCCGTCGAAGTCAACGGGCGAAAAAGAAACAACAAGGGACCCCGGGTACGTGGGCACAATGCCAACCGTTTAGGGCCGAGAACATGAGGGGGCGCAGCCCTCTCGATCGGGCACCGGCTGAAATTGTTTTCATTGTTCGCGCGATTTGTCAGGGTGTGTAATACGGTAGCAAAACTATTAGTCGCTGGATCTTCGGGGCACGTACGCGCCCCGTACCTGGCTCCAGCCTCGGATAAAAATTTTGCAGGCCTCTCGAAGAGATCCAACGATATTTTCAAAAGGAAAGAAAAAACGTTTCGTGTCAGAAACACTTCAATATTTCTTGGCGTTGCAGGAGTTTTATATTTATCGCGTTGCGTGGTGTTGCTCGACGTGTAACGCAGCAGATTATCGTGTTAATAGTGGCAGGTACAGATCGTAAACCTCTTTAAGAGGTTAACACAAGGGCATATTAAATCGAACAAAATTATATGACTTCAAATTTGTACTTAATTATAATTAAGATCGTATCATATCGCAAATAATTTTAATTAGACTCATGTATGCTTTCTTTTGGCCTAATTCAAAATGTACTTCCGAGGTCTTCCAGCTAGCCCCACGGGGACCCATGCCTCGATTCATCCTCCATGCCCTCGTGGGCCTCTCGACTCGAGGCTCGGCCTGCGGCATATCTTGAGCAGTTAAATTGTCATTTGGATATCAAAGGGACGGAACACCCCGCGCGCGGATAAGGGCGCCAGAGGTAATTTGGCTCAGTGAAACGCAAACACGCCGCCCAACCCCCGTGGAATATAACGGTCCTGACGAGAACGCACGAATTCACACCCACGCACCGCGAAACAGCCCTCCGAGCTATTGTTGCTCAAAGCATAATGGAATCTCGGCCCCGACGTCTCCTAGTCCCGCAGCTCGCGTCGAGGAACGGGGAACGGGGAACGATTCTTCTCTCGGCCGTGTGCCAGTTAACTGGGATTTAATGGCCTCGCAATTGGATTTTACCATTGCTCGTTGCCCAAGGAGGCGCCATTTCACGCTCACCGATTATACATTCGCGCCTCCGCCTCCGACCCCCTCCCAATCCTCGCGAGCGCTCTTCTTGCCGCGATTAATCCTTTCGATCGACAGATACCTTGCCCCGGGCCATTCCACCGACTATTCGGGGACCCGATTCGATCCCCTGCACTCTCGATTCACGCTGGATTGCGTGGTCCAGACGTTTCATCTCGAGAGGATATTTTACATTCGACTCCACCATTGTCAAAGTCCCTCACTCGAGTATCGGACACTTAGAACAACACTCTCGGTTTATAGCAGGTGCAACAAGTTCTGCGTCTCAAATAAGTGATCTAGTTTGATCCCACGAGGTATTCGGACTGGTTGTGGAGATTCTATAGAAAGATTCCTTGTACAATCGCAAGGGTTCCTACCGTGAAGAGGACACCATTTACGGGCTTTTTCTCACCTTCGAGACTCGGTGGCAACGGTCGTGGACCCGTTCGAAGGGACGTCCTTTCGTGAGCTTAACGAAGTAGACCGAAACGAGGAGCTCGTCCGCGGTTAATTCGGCGCGATATCATTAAAGGGACATTTTCCAGTTTTCACCCTAATCCTTGCGGAATTCAGTGAGCAAACCTGCGGCCCTTTCACGCCTGCCTACGTCCGTTATCCCTGTCTGCGTCCCTTCTCTCTTCCCCCTTTCTCGCAGTTCGCGGTGGATGGTTTTCCACTAATTACCGCTCCGTTTCATCCTTCGCGCATTTGGGTTCACGCCTCGGCGAAATCGACGCCAAGACCGCCACGAGATCGTTCTTCCTCTTCCTCTTCGGGGACGATCGACATCTTCTATAAACCAATGTTTCTGTTTCTTTGTTGTCGCAGAATCGCTGGTGCAGGAACTCGAGCTGGAGAGAAAATCGCGGCAGCACCAGGCAGCCGAGAGGGACCAAGTGAAGTCTCCTCTTCAAGGTGCGTCCAACTGAACGACCAGGCTATTCTCGGTAAATTCGTCCGACGATGCACGATGGCGACGGTGACCTATTCTACCGCGACGCCTGCCCGATGCAAAAATTACTGGCGCCAGGTGGACACCAAATTGATGGCGTCCAACATCGGTGGCATCAGTTTGAGCACTGTCTTGGAATTGATTTATTTAAAATTGGTAGAACAAGTATCGCGATATTTTGCGACTGATCGTCTTCTTGTAAACACAAGACACGGTCTTTCAACTATTTCGCGTTCGGAGATCTCCCAAATGATATGTCAGTTTAGATTCTCTGCGGCGGCGGTAATGAAAATAAATCCAGCGTTGAAAAAATGGTAGCATTTCAAGATCTCCGCCAAAGCCACCGAAGACACAAGCTTAAATCGACGCGCTACGGTCTTGCAAGAAAACTGGCGCCAGTAATCGCTGCACGTGGAGCTTCCAAGTTCTGCGGAGAATTCTGCGGTATAATCGAAGGCGGGAAGGGGGAGGGATGTCGGAGATAATTCGATTTTCGATTCGCCGAGCGTCGAGAGCCCCGCTCGTTCTCCGATTCGAGCGTGGCGGAGCGACGGCGGTGGAATTTCTTGCGACTAGGAACGAACTTCGGATCTTTAATTAGAAAGTCTCCGGGGGCGGTCCCGTTGCTCCGAAAGGGGTGGTTTCTTGCAACGGTGTCGCCGGCACACGCCGTCGGATTCAAAACTTGCCACGCTCGCTAGCTTCGCGGAAACTTGTCGAAAGTTGGTCGAAGGAGCCAGGCAAAAACTGCACCCCGTATGCGGCGCGCGCGATTTCAATGTTCCGCGAGGGCCCGACGTGACGTTGCACGTAAATAATCGTTTTTCGCGGCGCGGGCCCTCCCCTGCGCTGCAGCCTTAACGAGTGGTCCCTTAATTGGCCGCGGCTTCGCAAACTCCGCTTCGTCGCTGCTGTCGTTTTCGGTTTCCTTTCTTTCGAGTCACGAAGTTGGAGCAACGACGATGCTTCCTCCAAGTATCGGCTCGTTCCACGAAATATTACAAAATTCTTAACATCGAAGATGATCAGACCAGAATAGAAAATAAGCTGAATAGAGAATGTTATGGTTGCATACTCTATTTACCATTTTCCTAATAAAAATAAATTTTCCTAGCGTCTCAAATCCTAAGAAACAAGTCACCCAAGAATATGGTCTTACAAACATACCAATATACGACGCGTTCCATTAACTATTAATAAAAATAGAGCAACTGGATCTCGTGGAACGAGGCGCTGCCGTTCCCTGTGAAAAAACAATAGAAAGAACTGGGGAAGAGGACGCGACGCGAGAGCCCCAGCCTCGAAGACGGAGTAAATCGAATCCGGTGGACTATTAAAACACGCAGTGATTTTCAATCATAAGCGACAGTTGGATAAAAAGTCGAGTGGCGGCTCGATCACAAAGGGGCCCTAAGGGCCGATGAGTCGACCGGTCTCGTATTTACGAACGCTTCGCCGATAGGGTCCAGAATCCTCCGTCTCTCTCTCTCCCTCTCTCTCTCTCTCTCCCGCGGAGAACGCGATCGTCTCCGTCTCTTTCTCGTTCATCTACGTCTCGACAGGCTCTGGATAATTAGTGAGCGGCGCCGCTTCCAACCGAACGATCATCGAATCATTCGCTCGGCGTTTCACTCTTCCTCGTCTCCGAATCACCGTTGCCGTTCGAGATCGCGTTTCCGATCAGGACGAAGATTCGCGAGCGTCGCGACGCACGGGATAGAGTTGGAATAAACTGGTCCTCCTCATTTGCAAATTGATTCGTAAGGTATGGGAGTGTTGAGCAAAGTGTAATCCAATTGGAGATTGTACCTGCTTAAATCACCTCTCGATTGATTTATAAAATTATCTCAAAACCTAAAAAGGTTGTTTCAAAGAGGTGAATCATAACGTTCTCGTACGAATTCATTCGCGAATAAAAGGTCTACATTAATCATTCCTGCTGCTATAACATATCAACAAGCATGAAAAGCTTGTAAGATATTCACCCACTGAACATCGAACTTTGACCACGTTTTTCTAACAAAGTCCCATCGTGTATCCAACCGCGAGACTCGTAAAATGCACTTGGATGGTGTTCTGTTTCAGAATCCCGAACGGGCTACTACAAGAACTCCGTTCTGTTCACGAGCGCGACCTAGAAGAGGCTTGACGAAGGCAGAAGAGGAGCAGAGAGGCCAGCGAGCAGCCAAAACGAGTGACGGCTCGACGGAGAGCGACAGAGAGGACGCGAGGAACCGGAAACGCGGCAAGTTCCGCGGAGAGTTGCGCGAACGGAGGAGAGACGAACAAAAGACTCTCCTATTCCAGGGAAGGCGAAACGAAACCGCGAAACGAGCCACAAGGGGTGTGTGCGCGACAGAACCGAACTTTCGGTAGTCCGAGTCTCGTACGACGACGCGAGCACAGTTTCAGCGCGAGTGTCAAGGACGACGTTCACAGTCGAAGAATCGAGTCCTCGTTTATCGGTCGGTCCACGAGGATCGACTTGGAGCAACCGAGAAATCGAACCGTCGATCGAGTCGGTGGTAACACATATCAACGAGGCGGGAACAGCCGTGTCGGGCGTTCCGCTTCCGCGTTCGATCCGAGATCGGTTTCCCAAAACTGGAGACGGGCAGTGATTCGATTAACAAACGATGGAAAGTTAAACCTGCGCTGATAGCAGTTCTCTAGGTTCGCTCGATCAAAACTTACTTCATTTCGCGGTGTAATCATCGCTCCATTTATTTATTATTCCAATCACGATTCGCATTTTGACTGATATTTGTGTAGCTCCTCTGTTTTAAACGTTTTTAACGAATGCTTGGAAACTTCACGCTTATTATGTACAAGCATTAAACAACGTTGCATCTATTTATTTTATTTAACGAATAAGGCTGTTTGACCTAACTCGACCATTTAATTCCACGTGTATAAAACATGAAACATGTTCTTTCATATATTCACGCCTTCTTTCACGGTGGATTTCATTCGTTACTCGAGATTTTCGTTTAGGTAGAATTTTGCCCGTCTCTGGCCAGGAGGAGACGTCCACCGCGAACACGAGGGTCGGCGAAGGTATACCGCAGGTCCGAGGGTGCATCGAGCACCCCCAGCGCGACTTTCGTCTCCAAGTTAGGCGAAACAATGGACGACATCCAGCAACCGTGTCGAGATATTTCTAAAGACTGCTTGAGAGTGCTTGAGAGTGCGTGCGCGCGTGCATGCGTTCTTAGAGGTACCTATCTTCTAATTAACGAGCGATTTCATTAGGTAATTGTGTTAAGTCTGTATGTGTACGGACGATCGGGCGCGCCGCCCCGGTTTCGAGTATTATTATCATTATGATAAACCGTAGGGTCGATAGTCCATTTGTTCTTGGTAAATAAAATCGGCGATTTTCCTTGCGCTTTGTCTCCTTAGTCTTAAAACTAAATTAGATAACGTTACTCTTGGAGACGTTTCAGTCCTCTAGGAGCATGGATACCTAGCATGGATGGAGATCTATGTTTGCAGAGGATTAGAGCGTCGCTAATCGAGCAATGTTACGAAACAAATTTGCTTTTAAGATTAAAAAGACAAAGCACAAAGAAACCTGCTACCGTTATCGTTATCGTTAATATCATTTCCCTGGGGGCGGTGTACAACGGGGCGCCTCGATCGCCGATCCACGATCGAGTCTCGCGGGCTCGTCTCTACCCGTTTGCGAGACAAGGGCGTTTCCATCAGAGGTGGGCAAAACTTTATTCGAATAACGAGCGAAAAGAAACTCTGTATAACGACTCTGTCGAACGCTTATTCGGATAAACTGTGATTTTAACCTCCCCCGATTCGATGCATCATTTTCGCCCATAAAATGACAAACTAGTTCACCTTTTGTTTATGGAATTCAAGATTATTTATTCGTACGATGTTGTCCATCTCTGATCTCCATTTCGCGAGACGCTCGGAGTCTCCGACGACTCGATCTTCTTGTATCATATAGAGCGAGAGACGCCGAGTGAATGTGCGCGCATCGCTGACCGTGAAAAAAAAAAAAAGAATAACGAGGGAGAGCTTGCCAGGTGAGCGAAGAATCTGGAGAGAATCGAATCGGGAGCGTGTAGACGTATAGGGGTAGGCAAAATTGCTTGAATCGCGATAGAGGGAGACAAAGGGGGCGAGGAAGCACGGCGACGAGAAGCGTTTGCGAGAAAATCGGAGAAACAACGGAGGATCCGTGCGTTTTAAATCGTAACACCTTATTTATATAAATAACTTAGTTACTACCGTCGATAAGTAAGGCTAAATGCATAACCGCGTGTGTCCCGGCGTTTGCGTCGCGATCGACACGGGCGAAACATTTCCGAAACGGCGCGGCGAGACGTCGTCGTTTGGCGTCGCGGTGAAAAGGAAACCGGTGATGAGGAGGCGAGGAGTACCGCGTGCAAATGTTTCGCCGAGTGGGTCGATCCCCGTATTTAAGATCCATGTACAAAGTCTCTTGCCCGTAAGGTTCTTGTGTTGTAAAGTTCACATAATCATAGTGTCTAGATCGTGCGTACCGGCTAAAATGCCCGTTAAGACGACGCTACACGTAGTGAAACGAGAATTTAACCACCGATAGCTCATCCGTATTTGCCATCGCCGCCAACCAATCGATCGGGGGTCAATCTCGCGATGGGGAATCGACGGGGCCAAGGGAGCACGCGAGATCTCGAGATCTATGTTCCTCGAGCAACCAAGTGAACGGTTTGCTCGATCTGGCGATTCTCGATCGGCGAGTCGGGTTAATTCGCGCGAAATAAAAGAAAAGAAAATAATGAAACAAAGAAACACGCTGGATCTGGGGTGGGGTTAACCGGGGTGGGTTGCGTACAGGGGAAAGTAACTCGAGGGTCGGGGCCGGGGCCGGGGGCGGGGGCGGGGGGAGGGGGGAGGGGGGGGAGGGCGGTTATGGAAAACGCAGCATCGCCGCGCTGCTGGGTAAACGATGACGACGAGCGATGACGATTTCGCGATCGGACTTATACAATCTAGTATCGAGGCAACAAAGTGTATTCATTGTAATTCAGCATTATTACCTATAAATAAATAGTTGTTATTGTAAAAGGCTCTGGTGTGTCTCGATCCCCTTCTTATACACGAACCAATGTTCTCGATAAAAACGAGTAACACAAATGAACTCTTCATATAGCTACTGATTCCTACCATAGCGCTCCACAACTACGCCCAACCAAAAACCTTTTAACCTTACTTCTGCAACTATTCGTGCTTCTTTGGATAATCCAACGAACCGCACGAGTCGTAAAATATTTAATATTTCCAGGGACCACACTCTCATATTTCCCCCTTGTTCCAGAAATATTCACCTAGAGAAGTACCACGATTTTTACGCAGGAAATGAGATTTGCGCCTATGGCGTCGTGGAAAGAAACGATTGGACGTAAGTGATTTCTCGCGTCGTGGAAAAAAGCGTAGGGCTCGGTTGGTGAAAGTTTTTGCATCAGAATTACTGGACTGGGGTCCGATAGATTCGTTGTTGGTGGATGAAGGAGCGCGGTCTCGCAACGTCCAGATTAAAGGCCGCACCGGCGTCGCTAGCCCTGCGACGATGCATTCTTATCAATTTCCAGCCGTCCTAACGACACACGGCACGCGACGCCAGCCCATTGGTCAAGCCAGGCTCCACCCTTTCGACGGGGAATATATTTTAATAATAAATAGCGACGATCCGGCTCACGGTTCAGCGGCGACGACAGGGCCGAAAGAGTCGTAGCCGCTTAATTAAATCGGCCAGCGAACGTCTTAATAGCCGGCTAGGATCTATGCGCCCGTAGATCTCGCAACACCTGGTCACGTAACGAGTTGACACAGAAGGGAACACGAGGCACGCGTCGTAATTTGTTAGTGATTTTAGTAAAATAAAATTGGAGTAGAACGAGCTCAACTTCAATTTAATGTAATTTGAAGTTTAATTCTGGTTCGAAAGGTTCGCTAAGAATGATTGTATGAAAGGTATCCTAGGAATGGCGATGTTCGTCGCTGCAGCTACTACCGACAAAGACCCGCTTCTTCCAACTTTCGAAAGTTGGAATAAAATTCATACAACAGAGGATTAACCCCGAGGATAAAAGGGAAAGTAACGTTTCGATGCAAATGAAGTACTTCGCTCCTCGCGGCGGCGACAGTGGATGGCTGACGACGACCACCCGTGGACGCCCTTTCTTTCTCCCCCTCGCGGTTTCCACCCCACGTCGTTCCTTCTCCGCTCGAATCATAAAGATAACCGAATTGCTCCACGACTCGACTTTTTATTCCAAGGACATATTGCCCGACAATCATTCGGGCATTTGCATAATTATCGAATAAAACGAGACGGAGTCCCGAGGGCGGTTCTAATGCCCCGAACGCCGCGAGTACGACTAATTTCATGCTCTCGATTTTTTCCTGGACCGCTAGGGTCGTTTTCCTTCTCACCCCAAACCTGTTCACCCAAGCCACCCTCTTTTCTCCGTTTTTTCTCGTCAAAATCGTCCTCCTCCTTGTCTCAACTCGGCTTCCGCGTCCCGACGCGCGTCGCCAGCCGTGGCGAGACCCTCGTTCGGTTCGTCGTGGCCGATTAGCTTAATTCGCCCCCCTGGAACGACGGAATTCCTTCTAATTAGAATCGCAACGAGCGCCGTCCGCGGCGCTCGCTTTACGAGCCGCCATTTCTCCCGTCGATCCACGCGTATAATTTATCAAAAGCAGGTTCCCGCTGCTCGCCGATCGGCCTACAAATCTTCCAGATTATTTCTTTAGGAAACGATCCACTCGACTCACGATCGTCCTCTTCGATCCCGGGACACGGTAAATCCATTTCCCCTTAATAAACGCCACGCGATTTTCCAAACGCGATCATCCTATTTATAGGTTCCACGGCGGAGTTTTGTCATCGAGCGTTGTTTATGAGACACGCAAGTTGAGCAACATTTTTATATCGGTGCCTGCGTGGCTGCCAGAATAATTTATTGCGAAATATTGCCGTTTCTCGAATGGAGAACAGTCAGGGAAAGTGCCGAATGTTATCTTGGGCAAATTCAAGCGAAACGAGGTTTCAGCGTTCCGAAATAAGTTTATTATTACTTTTCATGCGACGTTTTACAGAAATAAAGAAACCTGTAACGGAGGAACTCAGTTCTCTGCTCCTTTTGCAAAAATAAATACCGAACACGACTTCCTCTCTTCGTTCCTAGCACTTGTGTGAACAAATTGAGTTTCTTCTTAAAACAACACTTCGAACCACCCCATTGACGTTCGATTTTGCATCTCCACCAACCATTTCTCGAAAACAAGTATACTCGGGAGGAAAAGGACGTCTCGAGGGATCCTCGAGGACTTTTCGCCTGACTTTTCGTCAAGATGTCAACGCGGCTAACGAGGAGAGTTAAGCTTGGGCAAAACAAGTCATTTTTGTCGAGGAGGGGGGCCTAGCGACGAAAGGCGCCCCCTCCTCTTCGGTGCGTCGTGCTCGAATTATGCTAAACAATTTTACCAAACTCCCGCCCCGACCGCGGGAGACCAATGGACGCTTCGCAAAAACAGCCGGCTGATTCCGCGCGGAAACTTTCACGACGCCGAAGAAACGCGACCGCAGCCAATGTCGGCCAACAACAACGCAAGATTTGCAATTGTAAGTGCTCCACTGCCAGGCGCAGGAAACGCACTCGCGGTTTTTCGGTAGTTTCCAAGTTTAACGGCCCGCGGGGCCGGTCGTTCGCGCGGGTTCCGCTCGCGATTTAACGACCCAAGTCTCCAGAAGAGTCGGAGACTAGAACGCGGGCAAGAAACACGCGCGAGGAGCTGGCAAAAGGCTGAGAGCCTCGGGGAAGCTGAGAACGGAATTTGCAAGCTCTTCGAATCAGGCTACAAATAGTATAATTCTTTCGAAAGTAAGTATACCACGTATATCGATTCAGATGGATTCAATTTGTGACTCGTCAACTCTCAAGAAGATCATGATCAAACGTATTACTCTGGTAGATCTATGCAAAATTTCAAAGTACCTGAGCGTCTGTTAATATAAATGACATTGAACAAAAATGATACTTGTTGAAAGTATACCTATACGTACATTAATGCGCGTATAAACATAAATAATACATGAATTGCTTACATATGTTTAATAGCTTCCATGCTAGCACGTATTAATACATTTAATAGCTTCCACGCTTGCATACATTAACGTATTTAATAACTTCCATGCTTGCATACATTAGCGCGCCTATTTAGTAACCCCCATGTATTAGCATATGCTCGAGGTGACTGGTTCGAAACCGCGTTACCCTCGATTCGCTATACTTTTACATCTACGATTCAACAATAATCGTTCGAAAACCCTCCCGCTAGCGAGTTTCATCTCGAATTGAATCTAATGCCTCGAGGTTAGCTGTCCTGCTCGCGGAAAAGCCCGAAAGCGGGGATTTTGATCGCAGGGGGCGTACTGCGCCTAAGGGACGTCTCCGTTTCTGGAATGAAAAGGCAAGAAGGTCGTTTACCGACTGCCTCGTTATCTCCCGATCCGAGTGCAAACGAGCGGAAGGGAATCGTTCGTTTTTCCCTATTTCGGTCACGGTTCGACTCGATGTACGCGGAGAGGAGGTCCAGAGAGGGAGGTGGAATAGTTGGACGATGGAGATTTTGGCGAACGGGGTTGGAGAGACAGGGGAACGGTGGCCCTCTACCCCCCTCGGTTCGGTTTCGGGGCCCTGGACGCATAATTACACCGTTGCGGATCGAGACTCGAGACGGAGAGAGAAAGAGAGGAGAGAGGCAAAGCTCAACACTTTCCAGGACGCCCCGTGGTCCGACAGACACCGCGAGAGAGACCAGACACAAGGAATTTCGTAGTTTGATTTACAGCTGCTCTCGGATCCCGACGTTGTCTATCGGGTCCAGCTTTTGATTGCGCTTGCCTCTAATGGAGGGTAAACGGCGAGAGCCGTTCATGAATTTGTATTAGAGAATCGGTTCCCAGTAGGCGACCGCTCCTTCGACCAACGACCGTCTCTTTCCCTTCTCTCTCTGTTCTTAACTGGACCTTCGCAAGACCTGAAATCGCGGCTACTCCCTACGGCCGATATTTATCGGGTTCTATACTCGAAAATCTGCTGAACTGTAATCCGATGGACAAGGACATCAACAAAAGATTACGCGAAAGAAAAGAAAGAATACGAATCGTAAATAATGTAAATGTAAATAACAGCCACTTTCCAAAGCTTTTCGCGACTTGACCTGTCAAAAACTGTGCACGAGGGGAATCTGTAGCATTCCGCGACGAAAAGTATCCCGACATCGGGTTAACCAACAAGGTGGAGGAGGTGCCAACGACGCGAAGAGGCGTATTTTGAAGCAGCATCGCCGCGCAAAGCGAGCCTCGCAAGAAGGATTAATTTCCTCGGCGTTCTACGCATTGGAAACACATAAGACGCTTCCCTCGGGGGCTGCCGTATTGCTAATCTGTTTAAATAACGAAACATCCCTCCAAGGAGGCCGGGAGAGCGCGGTCGAGGGGCAAAAGGAGCCGAAAGAGGGAAGAGCGACAGAGGAATGGGTAAACGAAAATCAATGTTTCCAAAACCGAAGCGAACAACGTCCTTTCGTTTACTTAATGAAATGTACCACGCGCTTGACTAGAGCTTTCCAACCGTCTGCGTCGCAACGCCCAGCTTCGAGGAGTTCTTGTCCGACGCGACGCTGGACAAGTCCTCGCCCGGGCATCACAGTATGTTCTTTTTCGATGGTCGGATTAAATGAAAGAAATTTCCACGAGCTGAATATTTAACAAAATTGGGATCTTGGAGAGGGTCGAAGGTAGATGCGTCGGTGCCAAGG